AAAACAAGCATTCCAACTAAAGCCGCTGCCGAAGAACTCGGCACTTTCACTTACAGTACAGTTACGTTAATGATTACCAGTAGTTACGTAATGTGCTGAAGAAAAGGGAAAAGCTAGAAACAGGCCAGACCCGAATCTGAAAACTCAAAATATGCTTGACAATATAGATAAGAGAGAGGACGAGGCTAAAGTTGTCCCTTCAATTCGCCAGCTTCTTTTTCGAAATTTCCCGTTCCACCTTAAATGCTGCAGCGGTTACATTCTGGCGCTTGAGGCAGCCTGAATCGTCGGAGTGTAACCGCTGCAGCATTTAAGGTGGAACGTGGAAATTCGAAAATGAAGCTAACTTCAACTTGAGGATAAACAGGTATTAGAATCAATAAAAAACACAGGATACTGGCTGTCGTTTCGGCGCCGTTAGTAGTCCCATAATGTTTTTATTTCGTGTCGTTTACCTGCTCCCTGGCTCGTTTCTCCTCTTCGACCTGTCTCTGCAAGACTTCGGCTCTCTCCTCGGCTTCGTCTGCCTGTTGCTGCAAAACTTTAATCTTGCGCTTCACCGCCTCCACACTGTTAACTCCGGCCATTTTTCTCTTTTCAACTTTTCAGCAGTCTGCAGCCCTTGTCAAAATACCTGGCTACCTAGCCAAGATTTACAGGGGGTGTAATTTAGCTGGGTCTAAATCAGCTTTTCTAATTAGAGGCGCTGCTTTTCAAGCGACGCCCGTCCAAACGAGTCCGAACTAGCCGGCTAAGCTAAGCTCGCTAACTCCAAATCAGAGCGCCGACTGACTGACCGACCAAAAATCTGTGCCCGGCGAAAAAACGGGGGCGAAGACGAGGCACACAGCTTGGTAACTGGAAAGCGCTCCCGTTACCTAGATAACTGCCTTGCCACAAAACCCTCGAGTTTAATTCATAAAAAAACGTCAGTCGGTTTTTTTCCGAGCGACAAACCCGAACAAACTTTCCCGGCTCGACGGTGAGGGAACGTCAGTAGCTTTGTCACTGCCTCGCTGCTGTTAGCCGACGGCGCTAGCTGGCTCGAAGGAGGCGATAAACAGATTTTTCTCCAGTAAATATGAGTCTATTCTCCTTCTTTAAAAAACCCCGAAGGCCTGTATTTAATTGTCCCACAGGTCCGAAGAAGCAAACCGGCGACCAAACACACGGAGGCTAACAAACTCGGACTCGATGCTCCGATCTGTCTCCCTCAACCTCCTCCCTCTCTATCTCTCTCTCATATTAAGCCCTTTCCGCTCTACCCCGCCCTGAACACGGGAAGTGGCGCCATTCACCCACAGTATTATGTAATTAAAAGTCCTTTAGAATACGTTAACAAAACGAGAAGAATTATACCTGTATATAATAAAGGTAATATAAACATATATGCAACATTTAGTTTAGTTCAAGTTCACGGACCAAGCACATATAGCACCTTTTTTCTGTATTTTTTACTGTTTTTATTTTCACTGGTTAGATATCACTCCGCCAACTGTTTTTTTTAAGTAGCTAGGCAACAGTAACGGTCACTTTAAGCCCATATCCTTCCGTTTATTTATTTAATTAATTTTATTTATTTAATTTTATTTAATTTTGTTTAATTTTATTTTAATTAGGTACCAAAACAATTACAATTCATTTTACATGATCTCCAATCTCTCTTTTTTCCTCAGAATTAATCTGGCTGGTAACAGTAAGCAATAACTAACCACGATCAAGTGCTAATTCCACGTGTTCTAACTTAGAAACGTCCCTGGCTGAATTAGCTTTAACAAACTATGGCTGCATCCAAAATTACATACTACAGTATTAAAGGATGTTGTCTAAAACATATGTTTTTAAATGTGTTCATGACAGAGAGGTACATGCAGGCTAGGGTAAGGCAAAATAATTGGGCCTCAGTAGAGACCAGTAGAGGGCGGTTCTCTCCAAGAAATGTGTGCTACATGCAATTAGCCCAGCTTTCCATTTTTAGTCCTGGGGTCCACTTTCGGTTTCGTGGTTTCCTGCTTCAGTGCACCTGATTCAGCTCAAGAAACACTCGATTGTAACCTGATGATGTGCAGTGCAGGCTTGGAGGTGGAAATAGCGTACAGCAGAGTTTCTGCACGTTTAAAGCCCTTTATGCTCCAACCCACCCTTTTTCAGTGGACACAGGGCTTGGCAATTAGCTGATGAGTAAGACGTGTTATCCTAATACAAATATGCTTGAAATTGGAGCCCTCAGGGCCTTCAAGGCCAATGATTTCTTTGAAATAAAATAGTCTATCATTTTAGTTTATTTTTACTAGAATCATCATGGTTGTATCTAAACTCTGCAGGTATTGTAGTAATTCTTTTGTTTCTTTTTTAGGTTTTGGCTGGAAATAAAAGGGTTACAGTCTTGAAACAGCCAAGGAAAAATGATCCAATCAAATTTTTTGTCTCCTGGCATTAAAGTGGATACAGCTAAGCAAGCCCTCTCATTGGTTAGGACCTCAGGAGCTGGACAGAAGGCCATACAAGTTTGATTATTGCTGTGTTCGGGTGCTCACTGGAAGATTGTATATACCAGATGGTTAACAAGTCAATACGACTAAACTCCATTTGGGTGCTTATTCGTAGATTTGCCCACCACTGCTAAAACTGGTATTTCCCGGTTTCCACTCACTCGAACATCAACTACCAACATAGTTAGGAAGTGACAGTACAAACAACCAGTTGCATTTTGATAACTGCTACATAAATGACTGCTTCAAGCTTCATGTCTGTGTTTAATCTAGAACGGCCAAATTTTAATGTGAATGGTTGTTAGCTTGGTGCTAACATAGTGGTATGATTCCATAAGCATGCATAGGGGTTTTCTTAGCCTTGTTTTGTGGCTGAGTTTTGATGTTTATGGCCCAAGCTGAGGGCCTAGCTCTAATAGTCACAGTTTCCCAGTGTTGAAAATTGTCCCTCTTTACGTCCAGCCAAATATCTGACTGGAGTTGTTAGTTAATACATTGAATGCCTACAATGCCAACACAATGGAGACAGGACACGGGACAGGGAAGGAAGAGGATGAAGATCAGTGGATAAGAGAGTAGTGGGTCAATAGGAAAGTGCTGAATCAGTAGATCGGAATGAGGAAAAGGGAACGGTGAGCTGGGAAGTGTGTGTAAATGTGTGTTTGTGTGTGTCACTCATGTCAACAGCTATTCTCTCAGTCAGCTCAAGCTTTAACAACACTTCCGTCAGAGCTGTCAACTCGTTCTCGAGATGAGCTCTGTCTACAACACAAATACAGCCACACATATTTACTGTCCAAAACCACGAACCTACACATCTTCTGAGTTATTATATGTAATGCTGATGTTGCTAAAAATGTAGTAAATGTGGAAAAATGTTTTCTTTTGGGGACTAGTTTGACTTCTAACACCAGGCATGTATCCTTCCACCCTGAACGGCTTTTAAAAGATACATTTCAGGCCAAACTTTATCTCAAAAATGTTGTGATGTCTTAGGCATTAGGCAGTGTATTCTTAGCCTTGTCATATAATAACTTTCTGTGAGGGGGCATTTAAAGGCAGGAAATATCTCGGACGTCTGGTTCCTATCACCACCACTGTGAACAATTCTGACTCAGTAAGTCTGTGGGTTTGTGAAGAGGTGTGTATTATTTTCAAAGAAGGACGTTCTCACTCCTCCCCCTTCACCCCTCATTGCTCACTAGCAGCTCAACATAGTCACAACATTTCACACCCAGAGATTACAGGGAGAAATAATTTCTTTGATTATATTAATAAAACATATCTCCACCTATCTCTGTGTCTGTCTCAAAAAATTGAGGTCATGAAAAAAATGTGAATATTTGTCTAGCGCCCTCTCGCGTCATCCATTTGTTAGTTGTTGACATGCTCATATTAGGAATTCTGGGTCTAAGCCTGTTTTCCCAATAGGAAAACTTGCTTCTGTTGCACCCTGTAATAGACCAAAAATGTTCCAAACCCGGTACATTTTGTCTTATGTACATTCTTTCTTCAAATATAAGGTCAAAATAGAAATATTGCTACATGTAAGATAACAGTACTGTGCATTGAACTGACATCAGACTGACAACTTCACCAAAATACCTAAACAAACCAGCAGGCTTTGTCAAATGTGGTAGTTAAGTGGCAACCTGGTAGGAGACTACAGGAACAGCGAGGAGAGAGAAGGCCAATGGAGGAGTTACTGCGGTGGAAACTTTTAGCAAGAGAAGTGTCTGTGAAAAGTTAAAGGGCAATTCCACCTCTTTTTAAATTTCTACACAATCAAATCTTTAACCCTCTGGGGTCTGAGGTCGTTTTCTCAGTTGTGCATACCTTCTAAAATTCATAAAATACTCTGATATCTTCATCACTACTTTTCAAAACTACTGCAGCAACTTCAGCAGCTGTAAACTCTCTGTACGCCATTTCACATGTGTCTCCGATGTGGACTGAACAAAAAATGAAGGGTTTCTGGTGTGATGGTCAGTGCTTAGTGATTTCCTGAGTGTCCATTGGACGGTTTCACATACAGTGTAGACGGACACACAAATCCACCAATCACACCCGGTGAGAGGCAGACAGCGTGTATCTCAACCCCTCTTTACAGGCTCATAACTCCGGATGTGAGTCACATACAATCTTGTGATAAGATGGAATGGAAAGGGCGACTTTACAGATTTAAGAAATGTTTGAACTGTATTTCTGCGCTTTACTATCAAAGACAGAGAAACAGAGCCATAAAATAGCTAAATCTGTGCTGTGGCTTTATAAGAGATTGCGATCCCTGGTTCATATCACCACCACTGAAAAGGAATCAGATCTGGCACATTTCTCTACACTGCACTCTCTAAAATTTGGTGGACTTCCCCCTTAAGGCTTTTATCCAAAGTAAAGCACAGAAATAATAAATGTATCATCAGTTCGGTGACAGAACAAAGAAACAATGTTCAAATACATTCAGACATTAAAGAAAAAAGAGGTTCATCATTTTGCTTTGAGTTATGTATGAATTGTATTCTTTAATAGCAGAAAAACAACATATTTTATTACACAAAAGAAAATAACTGTTTATTGCTCTGTGCTGAGAGTGGAAATGGGCATTGATGCTGAACCATATACAAATTATGATTCACCTTATGGATAGTAATATTCAGCTCCTGGCAGACTTGACCTGTGAAGAAACTTCTAGCATTGCTTCTTCTTGTGGCAGATGGACATGGTTTATGCAGGTTGTGAGTAGACATTGAAGTGGTCGAGCAGCTTGGAGTCCAGGAGAAAAGCTCTTGCTTTGTTTCTCTGTTTGCTCTACCATATGTCCTCCGATCGGCACAGAGCCAGCAGAGCCAGCTGCAGGTCCCCTTTGAATTCTTTCTATAAGATGAATGACACAGAAAAAGGCACAACATGCTCTCTTATCATATTAATAAGTGTTATTTTATATTCAGTTACTTATACAGTGTAGGTTTAAATATTATACATTACCCACCAAGAGGTGTTGTTACTTGTTTTAGTCAGTTTTTCAAGGATTTAACCAATAATTCAATGAAAAATGCTATACAGTAGTTAGATATTTAACCATTTATATGTTACATATTTATTTTTGTTTTTTTGGATCATGTTCGAATTTTATTATAACTTCATTCTTGATGCTCTACAGCTTTCTTGGTCCACAGCTCTGTTCATCATTCTACACACAGATAATTTTTTAACAGTATTCTATTAATTATTTGTTGATTTAATCACTTTATACAATACCGTGAAAAAGTATTGGTCCCCTCCTGATTTTCTGTATCACTGCATATATGTAACAGCAAATGCTTTTAAATAAAGCTTTAAAATATTAAACAGAGAACCTTAGCAAACACAAAACACATTTTAGCAATTAGCAAAGGTATATATGAATCACCCATGTAAAAAATGTTGCCTCCTTAAAATTAATGTTAGTGATGCCACAGCCATCCACGAGTCCACGAGAGCATAACTGACTGCATTCAAGCCAGACTGTGTACAATCAGCTCAATTTCATTATCAATTAAATGTGTTCAATTTGCTGCTTGAGAAACCAAAGGGGCGATTACTTTTTCACATGGATGATTCACCACCTTAAAAAATGTGAGGCTGTCTTCGTCTAAAAGCATTCACTGTGACAAATATCCAACAACAGAGAAAGTCTGAAAGACTTTTTCACAGCACTTCAGATGTATCTAAATTGGTTTTATATGACAGCAGACAATGATTCAGAAAGAGACTCTGACTGCAGCTGACTGAAATCTCACCTGTATGGTCGAGTAGAGGGAGACGTTGGTCAGTTTGCAGAACTGGACCCTCACCCACAAGAGGTCTTCTTCACTCCGGCCCACCATGATGCCTCGAACGACTGCATTTTTCTGAACATACACATAGAATAATGTTCATTCAGTCACCCTATACCTGACAAAAGGGGGCAAAGACTTTGAGCGACCTGGCCTCCTTACCTTCATGCAGGCCTGTAAGCGCTGGGCCAAGTAGAGCGGCGTATTCTGGATTGAGCGAACTGCAGAGATGTGCATTAGATGGTTCAGAGATGAGTGTGTAACAGAAAACACAACAGACACACTCACACATACACTATATGTCTAAAAGTTAAGATGCACCCATTGCTGACATCAACTGCCCACACACAGCTGTAATCTCCATAGAAAAGCACTGGCAATAGAATGGTATGCTCTGGATCAGCCACATATGCGCCTATGTTTACCATGTCCAATGCCAAGCATAAGCTAGAGGGGTATAAAGCCCCCAGGATTGGGTTGTGGAGTGAATGATGGAGCTCCATCCAGTACCTCTGGAATTTGTGATCCAGAACTGATCATCCAACATCAGCACCAGACCTCACTCATGCTCTTCTGGCTGAATGCAATCAAATATCACAGCAATATTCCAAAATCTAGTGTAAACAGTAGAACAGCAAAGTGGACAACCTCTTTAATACCCTACATTTTGAAAAGAACACTGGAAGAACAAGTGTCTACCAACTTTTAGACATATAGCATAGACTATATGAATTGTATGTATTGGTGGTAGCATAATGTACACTCTTTGGCCACTTTATTGGAAACCCCTACCTTAATGTTATACGGTTAGAGACAGTTTGTGTAAGCCATCCCCTGGTCCTTAATTGGTGGTCAGTTTCCGATCACAAACTTGCTCTTGGCTGGATATTTTCAACCTAGCATTGAAACTAGCATGTGTAAAATACCCAGCAACATCGCTGATACACACATATAGGCTCCACGTGCATTACCATGTCAGTGTCACTGCTGTGCTGAGAATGGTCCACCGCACAGATAAGAGTATCTGGTCAGCAGCGGCCCTGTTGCCCCTATATGGTAGGTGTCTCTGATAAAATGGCCAATGAATGTATCTTGCGGTATTAATTACTGTAAATCAAATCTTTATGGGTTTATAATGTCTGTGGTTAATTGAGAACAGCCAAAAAGTGTATATCTGAACCACTGTTAGCTTGGCGCTATACTACTAGAGTCCCATAGGGGTGCTAGCAGAAGTTAGCAATTGTAGATTTTACTTGTTTTTGACTGAGTTTTTAATATTTATGGCCCAAACTGAAGGTCGCTGTAACAGCCACAGTTCGCCACTGAATTAAGCCAGTGTGGAAGTATAAGTAGTTTTCTCACCCAAAGTGCGCAGGCCAAGTCGGAAGTCTCCTGAGAAATGGTTCTGAATTGTTTTATCCACTGGCTCCCCTTTCAGATCCTCTAGCCTAGAGATCACTAGCATGATGATAGAGTGTTACAATCAGGTGCGTATGAACGAGTTTCAAGTTTGAGATCAAAGGGTCATACCTCTGTTGAGGTGGTCTGAATCACGAGAGGTCAGCACTTGGATCCAGGGGGCGGAGTCAGGTTTCTTTCCACTGACAGCATCTTTAAGGCTCTGCACACAAACATATTTAATGCACTTTAGCGTTCTTGCCAATACATGACTTCCTGGAAGAGGCCATATAAACTTCATGATGAGAGAGAGAGAGAGAGAGAGAGCCACACCTTGACGTCTTGATCGATGAGTTGGTAATCGATCTCTCCGGGTGTGTTCAGCTCCTCCTTCTGTTGATATGACAGAGAAGAGTCAGTGTGTTTCAACAGCAGCCACATTCCACACTAACCGGTTTAATCATTACCTGGGGCATTCTAGCTCTGTGGAGTCAAACAGGGTACTAATGTATTTTTATATTAAACAACATCAAAATAAAGTTACATATAACTCCACTGACAAAATGACTGAAATTCACACTGACTGAAATTCACACTGACTGAAATTCACACCACATTAACAGGCAGAATGTCCCAACTTCACCAGCAGACAACCAGCTATAACCTGCAATTATAAAGAATGTCATACTAGTAGCAGCACTGCACTAAGAGTGTAACTGACCTGCACACTTGTGTGTCTCATTCACTAAAGGAACAAGCAAACAATAAAATGTACACAATCTTCAGGAACACTTTATTTGGATAGTACAGTTGATTATTTGTAGATACTTAACTGACTTTTAACTTTCATGCCACTAATTATCTTTTCAACACCCTGAGGCCTGTTTGGTGTCTGAAGTTAGCTTCTTTAGCTTTGTGCTGGAGTTAAGGGGCTAACAAACAATTAAAGCATAATAGCATCTTGCTAACTGCTTGCCCCAAACCACGTGTTCGTAAGCAATCTCAAATAGACTTGCTTATAGTAAATCTTTATTCATAAGTAAGTCTTTATTTATATAGCTTTTTCGAAAACAAGGCTCAAAGTGCTTTACAACACAATGAAATACAATAGTATACAAAATTCAAAAAGCTATATATACTAAAATCCACAGCGACATAGTTCAACAACTACTAAAAGCAAGAGAATAAAATATGTCTTCAAACATTTTTTAAAAACATGAACCAAGTCTGAATGTCTGAAATCAGTGGAGGATTGTTCCACAGTTTCAGGGGCGTACGCTGCAAAGGCCCGATCCCCCTTTGATTATAATTCAGTTCAAGGAACAGCTAGTAGTAAAGTCAGGCCAGCACTGGTGTGATATGCTCCCTGCGTTTTGTCCTAGTGAGAAGACGAGCAGCCAAAAACATGTTTATCTTATTATTTCTAAACTAGTGAGAACACATGTGTGCTCTGATGCCACAGTATGCTCAGCTCAAAAGTAAGTTTCTCTTTTTTTGGGGGTAAAGTCTTTTGAAAAGAAAAAAGAAAAGTATAAAATTTGCATTATATTAAACAATTGTAACAGTATTGCAGTTAGCACCACAATTATGACTGTCTAATAACAAAACAGTTCCATTATGATTCTATCCACCTGCTTTACTTTAAATGCTTGTATGCTTATATACATATATACAAATACATACATACATACATATATACATACATACATAATCCTCTTTTTCTAATCTTTGCTTTTCTTCTGATTAATATATTTTGAAAATACTGTCAATATCAATAACAATACATTATGGAGGGGGAAAAGAGGGGGATATTATCAAATACATGAAAATTTCTGACTTTCCCTTAAAATTATCTCCTTAAAAACTTTTTGCATTACAAAAGATAATAGAGGGGAGAGGAAATGAAAAGGTAGGTCATAAAAACCCTAAAAAAGTTCTGGTCGCCGGGTTCTTATATAAACTGGCCACTTAGATCAAATCTGACAGAATTTCTCAATCTGAATTCTTAAGGAATAAATTAGCTTTTCCATAATATAAATTTCATGAACAATGTCATACCAGTCATGTACCTGAGGGGACTTAAGAGACTTAAGAGAGCCATTTTCTAGAGATTACTTTCTTGCTTGCAGCTAGCAAAACCCCAATTCTTTGTATCTATCATTGTGGTTCTTCCTCTAATACCTACTGACATACTGATATTTGTCTGTGCTTAAAAATGAAGATGATATGCATTCACATCTTTCTCAAACAACAGGATTTTGTGCTGTAATGAAACAGCATCCTGTCTGAAGAGGCGTACAAGTGTGAAACAAAATGGCTCAGCACAATATGGTCCAGCACAGAGATATTGACCCGACACACTGGCCACAGTCTTGCTTTACCTTGAGTATAGCCAGGACGAGCTTGCTGAAGTCTTTGCTCGTCTCGCTGATCAGGTCGTTCTCCAGATAACGTCCGTAGGCTATGGGCCGAGTGACAGGAAGGGTGTGTATGTGTGGCGTTGCTGTTTACAGGCATTCTTAATGAATAACGATGACTACATTAGTTTGTGGTTGTTTGTATTTTCTCACCCTCCTTGTACGCCACTGTGATGTCTCTGAGCTGATCAGGTGATCTGGTGCACAACACCTCCAGGAGAGCTTCCTCATCAGTGCCGAGACCCTGTACGGCAACCACACGAACAAATTACTATTATTAGAGATGAACAGTGATCAGAATTATAATCAGTGCATGCCCTAATTATTACAGTGACATTTTAATTTTACTCTATTACTGTATTCGTCACAGTCTACACATATTACACATATTACTACTACTACCACTGTTAGTAATAATAATAATAATAATAATAATAAACTCATATTATTGTTGTTATTAATGTTGTTGTTCTACACCACTATTCAAAGTTTTAGAATTAATGTTTTTAATAATAGAAATCCAATTTGTTTACAGATAAATGCATAAAATGATTCTAACATGTTAGTCCTGTGCAACATGTCGGTAAGCTGTAAAAAAGTTTAGGTGCCCAGAGCTGTAGACAATTCTGAAAGCTGTATAGCATTAAGAGTTAAGATTAATATCCAGAATGCCTCAAAAGGGGTTACCCAATTTTGAGGCAAGTACACTTTCAGAGAGAAAGGCATGAAACTGTCACTGGGGCAGTAACCGTCTCATCACTGGGGTGGTACCCTCAAGGGTACATCTCAGTACCTTTAGTCAGGGAACAGAATTGTACCATAATTCATTGAAATTATATTTTCTTAATTGTACTGACTCCACACACCCCGTCTCGTCTCCAGGCTTTTTTATTTTATTGTTCTGTTTTAAAACATTCGGTTATGAAAAGGTACAAATACGAACTTTTCACCTGGAAAAACTTATTAAAGGTGCACAATTGGACCTTAAAACCACTGTTGAGAGAACCTTTACATTGCTTGTACCTTGACGACCGGAAAATCTACCTGCACAGAACTTTTATTTCTAACAGTGTAATTATTGTAGTTTTTACAGTATAATGTTTAGCATATAACAACTTTTCATTGTTAACAAAGTAGTTAAAATATTAAATACAAAATCAAACAATATCTAGTTTAAAATGATAACTGATAACTGATTTATGAATGCTACTTTTAAAAAAATATTATTATGTTGGTTTATTTACAGAACATTAATTGGGACTCTATTTAGGTCATGATTCTTATTTAGTAAAGCCTGAATCAGACACTTCTAAATGGTTTGTTCAGTGTACATAAAGGCCTGTATTAGTGCATACTTGGATGTCTGTAATATGAAAATCACTAATAATCAGTGGCGTCTCTGCCACAGAAAGCCTGGTGGGGCACAATAAACTGAAGGGGCAGCAGCAACTCGTTAATGAAACTAGAGACGCAAACCTGATCCAAACACAAACGCACTCCATCAATGAAATCACAAATTCACAAATTAATGTAATGTGGTGCAGAAATGGAAGTGGAGACAGGAAACAGCATTAGATCTCACAAAACCTGGTTATACAGCATCGCATTACAAATCAAAGTTATCAAGCTTGATCATTGCGGTCTGTAGCAACATATCAGAGCAGGGAACACATCGCTTTCCATACATTAACCCTCTACTGCACACTTTATGAGAGCAATATATAAAAATATAGATTCAGTTCAACTTTTTTACATGAAAATGGGCTTTGATTTATTTTTTGGACCTGTTTATTAAATTCAAAAACATGAAAATATAACAGTAATAAAGTGTGCAGGAGTCCTTTGGAGTATGTTGCCTTGAGGTAACATTGTGTGACAATGGGAAGAAATGGTATAGATCCATGTTCCCTGAAGTGGTGAGACCTGGCTTGTGACTGGCTAAATCCATTGTACTGTCACACAATGTTGCCTATAGGCAACAAACACATTTCTGCAAATTCTCAAAAAAAATTGATACTGAATGTTAAAAAAGAGGTTTAAATGTGCCAACTAAGAGATAGTGTGACCAAGTTCATGCTTTTTATTGACTTACTCAAACTCTTCTTTTTAAAGTTAACCCTATGATTGGCTTTAAATATGTATAATGTCATTGTAAAGTGAGGGAAATTAGTTTGTTGCTCTGAGGCAACATCATGCAATAGAGGGTTAAGAATAACACGCCTTGTAATAATGCAGAATGACTCACCAGTGACGGTCACTGCTCGAAAAGAAAAGATGCACGATGATCTTTCATCTGGACAAACTCATACCGTAAACGCCCATACTGTAAATGATGTTACTAAATGTCTGGACATATGTAAATGTATTATCTTTTTTTGGCTGCTCTCAGCATCTGGTTATTGAAAGCGTGTTGAACATGCTTTTTTACTGCTCACTGGTCAGACGAGCACTGAGGGGCCCCTCGCTCACCAAACGAAGACTGCTAAGAGAAACAGGTAGCCTACTGACATTTACACACCAGGTACAGGAAGATATTTGGGATGTATCGGACAGCCCTACCACTGTCAGATGTAATAAACGTGCAGCAACATTAGTTACAAAGAAGAATATACATATATATGTGTATATATATATATAACAACAACGACATATATATATATATATATATATATATATATGTCGTTGTTGTCGCAAGAAAACCTCGTATCTCCATTTTTGTCATTTAGTTTTTGACATAATTTGAAAATGTCTTTTGTCCTTTACATTGTGTGTAAATTTCATGATGAATGGACTAAAAGAAACGGCCCAAAATTACTTGGAAAAATTCTGGTTCCATTAACTTACATTAAAAGTAAAGTAGGTTTTTTTCCTTCTCCTGTAAAGCTACCACCTTGGAGATAATTTTGGAAATATTTTCTTTAGACAACAGCGATATATTAGCTATTATACTATACATATATTAGTTAACACTGAATCATTGATCATGTAGTGCACTGCTCCGCAGCGACATCTGGTGGGGAGAGGCCACTGCTAATAATTGCATTATGCAAAATAAACATGTTGTTACTGTCCTTAAAAGTCACAGATTGGTAACTTGTTTAGCGTTTTATAGCGTCTAATTAGTGATGACTAAAGTCCAGAAAACAGAACAGATTAAACTCTTATTAGCTCTAAAGTAAAAAATCCACCATGTGACACTGACAAGAGCCTATGATCAAACTGTACCCTAATACACTGTGAATTTAGATAGGTTAATAATTAATGCTCAGTTATTACATAGTAAAGCCAGGAGAGGCCGTGGGTTACTGCGGTTTTTTAAAATCCCAGTAACGCACTGCCTCGAGTGGCTTATTGCTTTTATAAAACGGCGGCGGATATAAAATATTTTAAAATACACAATGTTTGAGAAAATTATTTAAGTTATTATTGATAAGAACCGACATAAACAAGTATTCCGCCAAGAAACGTAGTTCCTTATAGCATACGGTATCGTTGCTAAGCAACCACTGACCGCTGAATGAGGAGAAAAACGGTCGCAAATCACTGTAAACTGCAGACATTACATGATTTTTAAACTTTTTTTCTGTAGAACAGTGAACATATGATAACACAGCACTGTTTAATGCAAATACTTTCAGTTTCTAAGTATTTTTTGGTCACTAAATCACCACCGCGAGTCTTCTGCCAGTCTGACGACGCCACTTTTCTCACGCTGGGGCCGAATCTCAAACGGCTCCCTGTTCCCTACGAAGTGCACTACATAGGGAATTTAAATAGTGATTTCTACGCCCCAACAATACAAGATATCGCTAAAATGGTCATTTGGGATTCATCCACATACATATTCGACAAGCAGCGCACTATTTGACAGCTGAAGCAAAAATTTCTAAACTGAATGTTAGCTAGGTTACATAGCTCACTATTTAGCTAGGGAGTACGGAGCCGTTTGGGATTCAGCCTGGGTTTGACGCGACTTCTGACTGAAACACGGACATTTAAAGCGTGTAAGACATTCAGGTGACATTCTGTAGACTTCTATACGGCCGTTTTACAGTGAATCATATCGAGTACTTTAATTCAAGCCTGTGATATTAATGTTGGAGTTGTTTAGCATGTTTACTATCTTTTAGCCTGTTGGCTAGCTGACCAGCCCAGTTCTAGTTAAGAAAATAATTTTCAACCCCTCAGTTTAAACAGAAACGCGTTCTTACTCGGTGCTCCGTCCGATCAGCGTTAGAGTCAAAGATGAATCCGTTAACAGCAGAAGGGTTTTTCATGCCGTGGCGCAGTGATACAGAGTTCAGCGGTTAACGCGGCTCAGCCAATCAGATTTTAGAACCGGAACTATCCGTTTTATAACAAGAGCTTATCAGTGTGTTATTATATTTGTAACAAGTGGCACGATTAATAGTTTTCTCATAACAAATGTCAAATTATATACTGACACATAAGGGATACGGCTTACTGTATAGTGCATAAAGCACTTACATGTGTCTAATTTACGTGTCTTTATTGAGCAAAATGCCTTTATCAGTCTTTGATTACATAATGTGTTGCCATAATATTCTTAGGCCCAATCCCAATTTCACCCCTCGCTCATACCACTTAGCCCTTAGCCCTCTGTTTTGCGCGTTCACGTCTAGGGGTGCCCTAGTGTTTGGGCTACATGGTTTTTCAGAGACTCACTCCAAACAGAGTGTTCTGAGGAAAAAAGGAAAAACGGCAAGATGGCTGAGCAAGACACCAAAGAAACCCACAAATATAAGTATTTTCTCAGTTACATATTACGATAACCACTGTATTATTTTAGTTTAATGTCGTTTCAATGTATTATGATCGTTTTCTTCATAACAAGCACAAAAATCGCTAATAGTAGGCTAATGTTTCGGTAGCTAGCTAGCTAACTTTCCCGTTCCACCTTAAATAGTCCAACCGTTCTGACGCCTGAAGCGCCAGAATGTAACTGCTGCACCATTTAAGGTGGAACGGGAAAATTCGCATAAGAAGCTGGTGAATAGCTGACTTAAGCTTCATATCACCAAGGAAATAGAGGTGGGCGATAATAAAACCTGTCGCACCCCCTCTTTGAAAGCATATGATGCCCTAAATGCTGAACTTTTCCCTTCTCTGCTGTCACTGAAGACGGGCTGGGTGGCCTACAGAGCAGCGCTAGTAGCCTGTTATTAAAAAATGTTTGTTTTTTTTTAATTTGAGGGTTGTCCCATTTCGTAGGGCAAGATTTTAACCACTACCCCTTGTAACTCAGTTCCAAGAGGTTAGGGTGACACTCGAAAACAAGGGGTAGGGGTAAAAAGCAGAAATGGGATTGGGCCTTAGTTTATATAATGACACTTTAATGTCACTTTTGTACTCGTTCAGCTTTCAAAGGTAATTTGCTCACCTCCATGGAGTGTCGAAGGCGATGGGCGTCAAACTGAGCTGGGGTCATCATCAGGGCCAGCAGCAGCTCCTGCACAGGCCCAGATAGGCCTTTCTTCAGAGCTGCATTCAGATCCTGAGAAAATGGAATGGCCGATGCACTGTGTGGTAAAAACTACTTTAGAAATCATAATATTTAGTTTAAACCATAGTTAAGTCTCTGTACCTTCTGTGCGAGGTTGTTGTAGGCCACAGCAATGTCCTGTCTTTGGGCATTAGTCCTGTTAGTAAGGATCCTGATCAAGGCCATCACATCAACAGCTAACAACAGACACAAACATACACATACGTCTAAGAACACTGAGCTATATGAGGCAACTCATCATAATAAATATATAAAACACTGAAAATAATCTTTTTTTTCTGAGAATAAGGCAAGTTAAAGGGCCCATATCATAGAAAAACTGATTTTTTTCTTTTTTTTTACATAATACATAATTTGATATAGTATGTCAATTCAAGTTTCAAAATATAGTCCTTTCATAGTTTTGTGATATCACAAAAATCAACTGCTTTATCAGCCTAGAGCAGTTTAGCCTGCCTGTTCTGCTGAAGTTAGTTGAAGTTATAAGGAGTGTTTCAGCCTGGTGTGCCTTTTAAATGAAGCAAAATACAGGGCAGCCAATCAGAACAGATGTCATTTACATATATAACAAAATGATCTGGTTTAATTGTAAGGGATAAAGAGAGGTTGAAAAACAGTTGTGTAAAGATGAATTATGACTGCTTTTGATACGTAAAGCCACACAAATAGTATAAGTGGACTTCAGAGGAAAAAATAAACATAAAATTGCTAATAATTTAGGATAAAAGCCCTTTAAGTAAAGAGCACCAGAAAGTACCAAATATTAGCTTAAAAGTCTTATTGTGACCCATCATTCTACTGTATGGCAGTACTTTTGTTTTCCAGTGCGAGATAAATCTGATGTGCATCCTCATCTGGTTTAAAAGGCTGAAATGGACGCACAGTGCCCAGAGTTCCCCACCACATCTGAAATGAGAAGAATGAACGAATGAATGAACTGAGCAGTGAATGACCAGGTGTGGGCTGCTGAATATGGAGAACAGGTTACATACGGTCTCTTTTCCTGGGTTGTACTCAATGTTGTCCACTTCGATCTCCATGTCTCTGTTTTGACTTCAGATAAAAAAGTTTCAATTAAGAAAAATATTTTTAATTATTTCAAATTATTTGTAAGCAGTTTGTCCCCCTGTGCTGCAGTAACAGCCTCTTCTCTTCTGGGAAGGCTTTACACTAGATGTTGGAACATTGCTGTGAGGATTTGATTGCATTCAGCCACAAGAGCATTAGTGAGGTTAGGAGCTGATGTCGGATGGTCAGTTCTGGATCACAACTCATCCCAGAGGTATTGCATGGAGCTCCATCACTCCAGAGAACTCAGAGAACTGTGGTGCCACAGCTCCACAGTCCAAAATGCTCAATATCAAAGGCTAAAGAGTATGTGAATAGTGTGTCTCATGCTAAGGCATGACAACAAGGTAATTAAGTTGTGGCTACGACTTAGTAAAATGCAAAAATGAGATAATTAAGTCATAGCCATGACTTGGTAAGTTCAGAGAATGAGATAATTAAGTTGTAGCCACGATGTAGTAAGGCACAAATGAGATAACTGAGTCGTAGCCACGACTTGGTAAAGTGCGAGAATGACAATCAAGTCATAGCCATGATTTAGTAAGGTGTGAGAATGAGATAATTAAGTCGAAGCCATGATTTAGTAAGGTGCTGAGAATGAGATAATTAAGTCGAAGCCATGATATAGTAAGGTGCTAGAATGAGTTAATTAAGTCGAAGCCATGATTTAGTAAGGCATGAAAATGAGATAATTAAGTCGTAGCCATGATTTAGTAAGGCGTGAGAATGAGATCATTAAGTCAAAGCCATGATTTAGTAAGGCTCGAGAATGAGCTAATTAAGTCGTAGCCATAATTCAGTAACGTGCAAGAATGAGATAATTAAGTCGAAGCCATTATTTAGTAAGGCACAAAAATGAGATAATGTTTGTTGTAGCCATGATTTAGTAAGGCACGAGAATGAGATAATTAAGTCGAAGCCATGATTTAGTAAGGCATGAGCATGAGATAATTAAGTTGTAGCCATGATTTAGTAAGGCATGAGCATGAGATAATTAAGTTGTAGCCATGATTTAGTAAGGCGCAAAATGAGATAATGTCGTTGTAGCCATGATTTAGTAAGGCGCACAAATGAGATAATTAAGTCAAAGCCATGATTTAGTAAGGCACGAGAATGAGATAAAGTAGTTGTAGCCATGATTTAGTAAGGTGCAAAAATGAGATAATGTAGTTGTAGCCATGATTTAGTAAGGCACAAAAATGAGATAATTAAGTCAAAGCCATGACTTAGTAAGGCGTGAGAATGAGATAATTAAGCTGTAGCCATGATAGTAAGGCACGAGACTGAGGTAACTGAAATGATCTAGATGTTTGTTAAAATTGTTCATCATTTCTTTCAAATTAAAAGTCAATAATGAGGACCTGTTCTCCTCAGAATGATGACCTGAGGTGAAGTAGCCTAAAACCACCCCTAAACAGCGGTACTGACACTTCAAATAAATAATGACTGAAGTAGAAATCAAAAATAACTACCAAAAACAACTTAAACAGAAGTATCAACTAAGAAAAAACCTTCTTCAAGTGCTCTGTAGAACTGCAGCAGAACATCTTAGTACATCTAGTATCTATCAGCATACGAATGTAACTTTGTTATCCTTTATTCTTGTCTTATTTACTATACAGAACCTTTTTGAAAATGGTTCTATAGAGCACCAAAAAGGGTTCTACTATTGTCACAAGCTTCACATCATAATAATAGCAGAACCTTTTTTGGTGCTATACAGAACCATATACAACATGTTCTCCATCAATCTGAAGAACCATTTCACCATGCAGAGAACCATTTAAGCATGAAATGTTCAACATAGAACTCATGGTTCTAAACAGAACCATTCCCAGAACCCAAAGAACTCTTGAAGAACCCTTTTTTAAAAGTGTAGCAAATGGAGCCAGTTACTATTCATCTCTGGTACTAAAAAAGCTGAAGTGGGCCAGTTCACCCTAGCAGGCTACTCACCGTGGGGTGGATTCCTGAGCTTTCCGATCGTCCAGCCTGTCAGTAGGACGCTGCGCTATCTCCGAGTGAGTGACTGTTGGACTTGAACTGGAGTTGTCTCGTTACGTTTGCTGATAAGGGTGTGATGTAGACTCAGCTGCTGACAAATATTATCCTAGGACTCTTCCATTACGGCCTGAGGCACTTCAAAAGCACAGTGGCACACAAGGCTTGGTCACAGACGGGCTCATATAGGACAGCAGTCATTGTACTCTAAAGCTGACACTTTTGTCTGTAACTCCTAACAGTAGGGTAGAGCTCATAAAACTACATGACGCCTACATAAGCCCTTCATGGCAACTGACACAGACCTACATAAACATTTAAAGACTGAGTGCGTTTACATGCACTTCATAATCCAATAATTACAGAAAATCTGATTTTGTCAGTAATCCGATCAATGCGTTTACATGCACTTAAGTAATCAGATTATGTTAAAACTCCAGGTCTACATGAGTCAGACAGTAATCAGATTTCTGCTTTGCAAACAGCCAATAAACTCACAGAAGAAGACGTGACGTAAACGTAACGTAAAACTCAAAGTTAATGCCGCAGCTTTTTTTAAAACATTGCGCTACCTTACCTGAAAAAATTAACATACATCATCTAGAAGATGAAGAATATTTAAATCCTTCATTTCATCAAGCATGTATTTGGTTTCATGTATTGGCGTCGCTCCAAAAGTGCTTTGCTGCGTCTCATGGCGATGCTGCTCGCTTACTTCCGGTACCGCGGCCTGTTTTCGCACATGCGCAGACTGAGAAATCCGAAAGAAATCAGAGTAAGAGTTCATATGCACTGAGAAATGTGATTACTGAGCTAAAATCCAGCTCTCTTACTCCAATCTAAGAAATCAGGAGTGTTTACATGACCATTTGAATAATCAGATAACTGCAGAAATATGATTATGATCAGATTATGGACTGCATGTAAACGCACTCATTGAAACATTTTTGTCATGACACTTTCTGGGGTGAACTGTCAGCTCAGTGTGAGTCGCAGTGATATAATGTTGGTAATATGACAGTTTGCCAAGTCAGGCTGGTTGAACAAAAGTGAGCATTTTCTGTGGGAGTTTCATTTCACAATTTGTAAAATTTAAGCTGTCACATCATCAGCATAAGGTCAGTGTGATATCCTGTAAGTTAGAAAGCCAGTTGTTATACCATGCTACTGCATTTCACTCAAAAATTGGCAAGAGAGCCCAATGTCAGAAAAAGTTGAAGTCACATGGCGGGCAAAGGAAAAAACATACTTTTTCCCATTATTTTTGGGCCTTTTATGGCTTATTCATCATGAAATTTAAACACAGTGTAAGGGGCAACAGGCATTTTAAAATTATGTCAAAAACTGAAAAAGATAACAAATGGAGATATAAGGTTTTGTCAATATGTGCAGCAATATATGGGTGTCATGTAAGTTTATGAATACTGACTAAAGTGTTAACCTTTTTGTCTCACAGGGACAATTACATAAGCATTCGGACTAAACAACATGCTACAGAAAGACAACAGATCATTTCTTTGTGTCATTTGGAGGTTAAAATGTAAGGAAATTGAATTAATGAGTGGAGAAACGTAAGTGCAGGTTTTTCGACAGGTGTATGCAATTAAGCAATTAACATCCTAACATGCTCATGTATAAAAATGCTGAGCAGGCCCTGATTAACCCTGATTTTGGCTCAAGGTCTAAGATCTTATGACTTTAAACGAGGGTTCAGAGGAGCTTCAGTTACAAAGACCTCTTAACTGGCCAATGTTTCTATAAGAACAGAGACTTAAGTGACCATTTAGATGTATGAGAAAGACATGAGTAAACATTACATTAGTGCATTAACAGAACAGTCCATTCCTAACTATATAGAGAGGGATATTATAGCAGGACTGAAGTGCATAAAGTGTTCATCACACAAAAGACCATCTGAGAGCTCAGTGGGTGAAATCCATCAGCGTTGTTCTACAGAGATAGTCAGATGAGCCATCCTTTACCATATTCTCCTCAGGTGTGCAGTGTTCACCAAGAGAACAATACAGGCTAGAATACTTGACCCCTCCAGTGAGGGGGGCCGGTGGCACTGTTATACTGTGGGGGAAGTGTTTTGCTGGACTGGTTTGGGTCCAATTAAAAGGAAGTGTCACTGTAAATCAATACTGACTGATCACCTTCATCTTATGATGAAACATTTCTATCCTGAGGGGAGTGGTCTCTTCCAGGTGCCCCCATCCACAGGGCATGAGGTGTCACCAAATGGTTTGATTAGTATAAAAATAACATATGTTACGACCTTCCGGGCCAAAGTGCTGCGGATATTAGCGTTTACCCTCATTTACCGCTCTGATTTCAGTTCATGGAGGCCTTGCTAATTAGCTGATGAGCTAAATCAGATGTGTTATTGAAGCAGTGTGCTGAAGTCTGCAGTGTATTGGACTGTAAGGACTGGAGCCTGACACATGTATTAGACAGTGCTCTCATCATCAAAATACCAACTGAAGGAATATCTTTTGGAGGAACGGTGTTCCATCCCTCCAGTACAGTTCGAGAGACTTGTAGAATCTTTACCAGTGCACCTAAAAGTGGTTCTGGTGGCTTGTGGTGGCCCAACACTTTGCTAAGACACTTTATGTTTGGTTTTCCCTTTAATTTGTCACCCTCTACACTGTTGTATGCAAAGGTTTAACCCTGGTCAGATCACGTTTTGTCGAGTTTCTAAGTGAAAAGAAGTTAACACATCCTCTACAGGAAACAAGTTTGAATTTTAATGCACAATTACTGTTTATTTGCTGAATTTAACACAACACAAATGCGTTGTGCAACAGTTTTTTCCCCAATATGTTAAACTCAACAAACAAATAGAAACTGGGCAATAACTAGGGGCGCTCAAACTTTTGCCTACGACTGTATGTGTGCACATGATACATGGTCTGTGGGACGTGTTATGCAGACAGGAAGAGACAACAAGGAAAGCCAAGACATTCCTACTGTATATTTGACCAACACAATACAAACAAGCAGTAAGTTCAAGTAATAAAAATAATAAAATTAACATAAAAGTTTAAAATAAAAAAGTTACAAGGTTTACACTTAAAAGGGCTTTCTTTTTAGTCTTTTTTTCCTTTTTCAAAACATTTCAAATATTTATACAGACAGATACATAATATACATAGTAGAGAAAAAAAATCCTTCTATGTCCAGTAATGGACTTCAGTTAGGCTGGTCTGTTTATGGCCTAGCTTGTACACAGCTATTCAGAATGAAGTGGGTAAGAGCAAAGCCACTGTTATTGCAGAAATGATGGCTCATTAAGTGTCTGAAGGGAAAGAGGATGCACACCTGATGTCCTACACGGAACAATCATTACCAACCAGGGCCTAAAAATCATAGCATTTCTCATCTACTCTATTCAAGTAACATATAATTTAACAGAATGTTACTAACTGGCAAACCACTTTGGTCTTATTTTCTTCTCTTGCAATTACACGTCATGCTACATTTGACTTCCTCGTTAAGTAATCAGACTGCATTTGCCACCCTGTAGAACTGACCAAGTGTCTGGTCATTGAGAATAAATGCAGATTTCAGCATTTTTCAAACTCATAGAGAAACACATTGAAATATGTGAGCGGTGCTCATATTAACCATCATTTTCTGTTACGATGCTTTGTAGAAAACTCACCCTTGTTTTCTAATTTTACACACAGTACATAATTCCTGTCTTTTTCTTTCCAGCCTTTTTTCAGTTTCAGTCATTTGCACCATACAAATAATACAAACAACAGAATAAAAACGATAAAATGGCAGGCAGTAGTAGGCTACGGGTCTTAATAAGAGGTTATTCTCAGAGATATAAATAAGGAAAACTGCACTTAACAGCAGATTAACTTGCTTTCGCTATAACCTTATATGTCCTTTTCCCCTTAAACTCTATTCGTTTCCTTGTATCAAACAGGAAGGGAAAGCGTCTCCAATTCTGACAAATGAAATGAGATTCAACACAAAAAACACCCTTCAATCAGCCTTCATGAGTTCTCTCAGCTATAGTTCTAGCAAGACGTATTAAAACGCAGCCGTTCTTCGGAAGTGAACGAGAGGCTGTGTGTAGCGTCCAGCAGAGGAGGTCCAGCTCTGCGATTGACTCCGTCTTATGGTTTGGCCTTCAGACTGAGCAACCGTTAGCTGTGGGCCGTGTCTGGTCCTGCTTCGCTGTCCGGAGCTTCAGTGCCACACTCGCTCTCCTCTGGGATGTCCTGTAGATCTACAGACAGAGAGAAACCATCAGACACGAAAACAACCGCGATCATAAGCGGTGGGTGGACATGTGTGGGAGAGGAGGGGGTGTTAACCCTTAGAAGTCTAGCTAAAGTCATTCTGCTATACATTCAAATTACGTTTCAGAATTATTTAAATGTAATTGCATAATTAATTGCTTCATTATATAATGTAAAACATTTTGATGATTATATTCACATCGACAGGATTTAATTTCTGTATTGATAGCAATAGGTCTAGATTTTTTTCAGGTCAAATATTGTCAAAAAATGGCAAATATTTAAAGGATGTGTACACCCAATCATAATAAATCATAATAGATATCTCTTTTTTTATATAAACACTCAAATTTGGAATCAACTGAAAGTTTGGAATTTGTGCTTTCGCCATTTTTTCAATGAAATCTTTAACTACTTAGCAGACCTCTGAAGTCGTGTGCCCATTTTGTATTCATGCCAAATAAAGAAGGTGGGTCTAGGCTGTTTCTCTCTATGGGAAAAATGAATGGTGTTCTCGGGAATCACCTCTAATCACCCTGTGGTAAACAAAAAATGTTTGTAAGCTAATATGTTTTGTCCTATGTAAATTTTTTTTTCTGAAAATCACCAGATCCACAAAATTACGAGGCTGTTAAATAGTCAAAATGCGAATATTTCTACATGCAAGTTACCACTGCTGCACACTGCATTGACAAGTGTTGCCAAATGTGGTGGGTAAGTTGCTTATAGTAGTAGCCTATATTTTGAGTAGTTCTGAGTAGCAGGTACTGTTATGTAATAGGGTTGAAATACAGCACTAAACTGACAGTAGTGTTAGTTTGCATGTAGCATGGATGCAGCAATACTTTTGACTTCTTAACCTTATAATTCAAAGGATCCAGTGACATTCAGCGGGAAAGCAGATGCGGCTCGTAAACATTTTTGTATACCACAAGGTGCAATAATGGCAATTATCAAAAACACTATCCATAAAGACCAGTGTTCAACTTCCTAGTAACCAATATATTACTGAATATCAACAAATGCCCGATATAAGACTTGTGTAATTGCATGCAAAGTGTGGAGTGGATATATCTGATGATGGTGACTGCATTGAAAAAGAATTCAAAGAGAAATAATTAAAAACTTGGTGAAGGACGTGCTTCCCTCTGAGTGAATTATCTAATATTGTTGTCATATCATCATAATGTATAATGTTGTTGCATGTAAAACATAAACATTGATCCAGACCTTCTTTTTGAGCTGTGTATGAGACGTTATTACGTAAAGATGTATGACGGGGTTGAAAAACTCCCAACAACATCCCTCTGGCTTGTAAATTAGTATTTAAAGGTTTTACCATGCTCACCATGTCTTGGCCTGTTTTTCCCACTTCTAACAAAGTAATTCTACACAATTTTAACAAACAAAAAATGTTACATCATGCTGCTTTAATATCTGAGATTAATATCTCTATAATGAGCCTACCACCTCTTTTCATTGAAGGGGTTAAACAAAATACAAGAGACATTTAAAGCCATGTGTGTGTGTGTGTGTGTGTGTGTGTCTGTGTGGGGGGTGTTTAGGAGATGACGCTGCTATGTGTGTCGTCAGTCTTCAAAGAGCAGATCACAGAGAGAGAAGGTTAAATATTGTCAGAATACAGGGACTCCCACCCTTAGAGCAAACAGAGGGAAGAGAGACAGACAGGATATTACATTCTAACACGCCCAGTGACGGAGAGATAGAAAACAGGAGATAGGAGAGGGGTGAAAGGGTAAAGAGAGAGAGAGAGAGAAGGTCAAGAATTTTGATACAATGGCTGTTTGTTTTCATCCTTTTATGGTTTAATCCTCGACTGGCCTCTGGGCCTCACCTCTGGGACTGTCTGAGCGTGGGGAAATCCGAACCTCTTCCTCTTCTTCAGAATCCTCTTCCTCACTGCCCTCCTGCACTCCGTCTAACTGGTCTACAGTTTCCTGGCAGGCTAAGGGGGCGAGAGGGCCCTGGCCTCCATCGCTTCCTCTTCTCTGAGCCGGAGTCTTGGATAAGGTAAAAGAAATGGTGGGGATTTTAATATCACAATGTTGGCAATGACTACACTACATCACACATTACAACTGCAAACAAAAGAGGGTGTGCAAAAAATGAGCTTGAGTACCAACACACATACACACACACACAGTCATATGTCAAAATTTGAATAGATAATTTTTTACTGCAAATTTTAATGTACGTTTTCTATTAACATGATAAGTTGAACATATTGGAAAAAATAAAATTAAAAAGTCTAAAATGTGATGTAACTTTTGCACAGGCCACAGGATATGTTTTATTTTTTCCCTAATATGTTAATTTCAGCAAATAAACAATAACTGTGCTCTAAAATGTGCAGAGGTGTGTTCTCTATAGAGGATGGTAACTTATTATTAATTATTATTAACAAAGAAACAAACAAAAAAAGCAGCTTGTTTGACCAGGGGCACCCAAGTTTTGTTTTACATATAGAAAACAGTGATTTCAGACTGTGGCGTATGTACACATACTTCATTCGGCTCTCTGACAGGCCTCAGTGCTCACCTGCTGTGCTGATGTTGTATCTGTGCTGTCCTGTGTGGTGTTGCTGCTGCGTGTGGCCTGCAGTTCTCTGATCTGCGTCTCCAGCTGCACCCGCGCCTTCTCACTGTCCCGCAGTTTGGCCTCCAGGAGGCGCAGTCTCCCCACCTCCTCCTGCAGCAGTGAGAACTGACGTTGCAGCAGGGCCTGTTCTCCTGCCCCGATGCTCACACCCTCCAGCAGGGCGTCCCGGGACAGTGAGCGGCTCAGCCGGACTGGGGAGGGGCCCAGCGGGACGGAGGTCGGGGTGGGCGGAGCCGAGAAGGGGGTGGAGCACTCCCGCAGACACAGCTCCAGAATAGAGTCCTGTCTGATTACGGCAGCCTAGGGAGAAAGAGACAAACAGAGAGAGAGATGTTTAAAAAACTTCTGCAAATCGACACCCGCAATATGTTATTGAAGTAATAATGTCAGCAACTGAAACTGAAATCAAGGACACACTGAGCTAAAACCAAATAAGTGTCGTCTAAATCTTTAAACTTTGCATCCAGACTTTAAACTGGTCTTTTAAGCTGCTGCCTCGTTTTTCTACAGCTGTTTAGCCATTTCTCAGAAATCTCTTTGAACATGGACGGTTTTGGACGAGCCTCTTCTAATTTTTCTGTACAGAAACATCACCCCAAATGGGCTCAGCAGCCCAAAATTATGCCGAATGTCGAGTTGGATTGACGTAAAAGTTGCATGAATTCAATGTTGTCTCAGAGACTGACCTGTAGTGCGTGGAGATGAGTGCTGAGGTTGACGAGTCTTTGGCATACTTCCTAAAACACAAAAGAACAGTTTACAGTTAGTTTTGCATTTCCCACTTAACCAAAGTTACATTTTGAGAAGAAAATGTTCTAGTAACTAATGCACACCTCATTGGGAGTTCTGTCCTGCAGCTGGTTACCATTATTGTCCTACAGAAAGAAGACAATCATGATTTAGAATAAAGTATTAGTCCCATTTATCTGTGGATTGTTTTTTTGAGTGTTGAGTCTAATTTACACAGTGTGAATTATTGAAAATCCCCTTTGTTCTGCAATAGCTTTAATATTTGTATCAACTGGCCCTGAATCAGCCCCTTACTTTTTGTGATGGACTGTTCTCATCAAGAGTTCCATTGACGGAAACTGTCTCGCCATCTATGTTTAGGAGAAAGAAAAGCAGAGAAGTGGGAAAAATGAGTTAAACTGTCTTTTATAAAGACTTTTCCTCTGTAAAAGAAAAAAGATTGAAGACTTACTGCTCATTGGTGTCTCTGTGTGGTTCTGGACATTGTTGGAACTGCTGGACTTAGGAAGCTCGATGCTGGAGCCCAGGAGCAGCTCACTCAATCTGTCCACTAATTTGAAGCACAGGAAAAAGAGATGTTTTTGATAAGGGGCACTTCTCTACAGCTTATCAGACCTTTAAAGCATTTGTTCAATCAAAAATCAACTTTACACAATTAACACAATGCAGTCAATCAGCCAGGACATGTTTGGTGTCTGAGGTTTACTGGGCTACGAGGCTAATATTTTTGGAATTTGAAGCTCATCCACAGTACTGTGCAAAAGTCAGACACCACCCTTCATTTATTTAATTTCCAGTCAAAACAGTAAGTACAAGTTATTCATTTTACAGCATTATAATAAACACAAGAAACATATTTAACAGAAAAATACAAAGAGGCCTCAACAACGAAATATAATACAATATATAAAATAATTTTTAGTAGTGTGTCCACTTTTGGCTTTTTTATTAAAGCTTACATTCTTTTCAGGAGACTTGCTTTCAGTTTTTCAAGGAAATCAGCAGCCTTATCTCCAGAGTTCAGATTTTGATGTCATGGTCAGTCCATTGTTCAAAGAAGACCAACGGCTTCTTTGTTTGATGTGCAAACATTCTTTCCTTTTCCCCTTTTCTCAGTAAAGTCTTCTTGAAAGTAACACCTTCTTTCAGATCTTTTGACAGTGGAAGGATGGACAAACACATGAATGCAAAAGACGAGCTTCATTTTCTTCTATCACTTGAAACTGAAAGCTTTTATCTAAAGTGCTGTTTATCTGATGGGGACAGTTTTGGTGTCTACAAGGTCTTCCAGGTGGGTGTTAGGAGTCCCATGTTCTCTGTGGCTTTTAATCATTTTTTAAACTTCAGCTTGGAAAATCGTCTCCTTCTTTCTGCAAGTGGATTATGTTTTTATCTCAGAATTATCTTGAACAACTTGTACTGGATGACAAAATGAAGTTTGACCTCTGACCTGCACAGTACTCAGGCTTTCAAATTCAGACTTCAAGTTACTATTGTTGTTAGTTATACAATAAGCTTTGGAGCATTTTTATAGATAACAGGGTGTCATGCATTGCCAGAAACCACATAAGCAAGTCTATTATTAGAGATGACTTAACAACCCTGTAGTTTGAGGCAAGTGAGTAATGCGGTTTGCACGATGTTAACTGGTGGCTATAAGCTTCCATCACTTGTTAGCTACATCAGCCTCAGAGCTCCAGTGTAAAACTAAAGAAACATGAAAAATATCTTCACTGTTTGAGATGTATCTGCTGTTAAGGAACTTGTGTAAATTTAATTTTGTCCCAACTATAAATTTAAAATTAAAAATCATCAAAATATTGAACTCTGTATTCTGTCTTATTTAGTTCTGTCATACCTTCAGCGATGGCATTATTGAGTAATCTTTCAGCCTGGGGTGCGTGAGGCGTGTCCGCTCGGAACACATTTCGGCAGTTGTTGGGGCAAGTGAGCTCTTGGCCTGCAGTGACCTCGGCCAGGTCGAAGAAGAGGGTCACGCGCTCCTGTAGCAGCTCCAGCACCTCACGGTCCTTCTGCTGAATATCAGCTGAGAGAGAGACAGAAACAGAGAGACAGATACATTAGAAGACAGAGAGACAGATGGGTAAAATTACAGAAAATCCAAGCAGAACGGTTCACCACTTAGATTAGAACAATGTTTTCACAGTCCAGTGAGGTCATGGAAAGTGTAGACAGCGAGGCGGATAAAGCAGTAAGGGCAGGAAATGGAACAGCACTGAATGATGGGAAGAATGGTCTCGTCCTGGTACTGACCTCTGAGTCTACGCAGAAGCGCTTTGTCCTCTGTCTCAATCAGGGGGAAATCTTCCCTGGAGGGACACCTGTGAGGGACAGACAGAGAGAGAAGGACTGAATACAGAAAATCCCTGTGTGGTTGGTTGGCATTAGCCCAGTCTTACCTAACATATCACTGGCGATACATTCAGACTCATCTTTGTCCTCTCTAGCTCATTTAAATCTGCTCTCAGTGTAGGTGACGTGCGTGTGTCCATGTTGGTCAGTGAAATGGATCAGCATGAGGAACGGTACCATGTTTTCTATCACTGTGTAAAAGATTCTTATTTTATTGTTGGACGCACTGCGATAACGCAAGTGTGCACAAACATTCAGAATGGAATTAACATTATTAAGGGCTTATTTCTGATTTATTTCAGAGTATATTTTGCTATTCTTGTAATTCTTGTAATAATTATTTTCTCTTTACTAGCTCAAAATAACAGATTGTGACAGAAACAAAATAAAAAACCTACAACTGTTTAGCTCTGTTATATTTTGCATGTCACATCACATTATTTAAGAGTAGATTTCATGACAGAAATAGCTACTTTTTAGGCACAAAGATATTATAGTTTCAATATTTTTGATACAAAAGAATAAGCAGAAATGCAGTTCTGTTCCTCAGTCTGGTTTTATCTGCCACAGCTTAAACTTTTAACAGTTGCTAGTCTGTTACACTAGATGGCGATGTATTGTATGTGTTAGATTAACAGGGAGAAGAAGTGTGGGTTTGCTTGTAGCAGCAAAAACTAGCAGGACAGTTAGGAGAGTTGGCGGTTTTCAGTGTTGTAAATAAACTTCTCAGTTTTCCAGAACCAGCAGCTTTATTCTGTTTTTATTCCTTTTTATCTTTTTATTCTTCTTTATGTTGACTGTTAAGACAGTTTTAAAGATGCTGCATGTTGAATGTCAAAGCCCAGTAAAAGGTTAATATCCTTAAAATTTAGTTATTTTTTAGACTTTTATTTTATGTTCTATCTTGATTATAAACATTTTTGCATATTATACCAGAATAATCCCATCTTCAGGATCCAAAATTTTATCCACTGGAAAATGTATGTATTAATTATGATTAATTATTGTTATTGAATGATTTGGAAAAATACTATTTATAATAAGATGTATAATCCAGCCCTAATGGGACTGGGTAGCAAGAGTCCACTTACTGCCGCACTGCCTCCTGGATGATTTTCATCCAGTTGTTCCTGTCGTCTTTGGAGGCGGCATGCAGCTCATACATCTCCGGAGGTTCTGGAGGGTTGGAGTCACTGATGAGGAACATGCCGCGCTCTTGATTGGCTATATCCCTGACAATCAGCTTTTGCAGTGATAGGACTGAGGGCTTGTCCTTTAAAGAGAAGAGTAGAGGTAGAGAGAGAGAGAGAGAGAGAGAGAGAGAGAGAAAAGAAAAAGTGAATGAGGAGGACTTTTTCTTGCTCTGTGTGCATTGTCATTTTTGAAACTGACAGCCAACACATCTTTCCATTCATCTGACATTTCGTTTGAACATATCTTAAAGTACAGCACATTTCATTAATGAGTGACATAAATTCATTTTTAATATGAAAGCAATTTTTCCACATAAATCTAGGACAAAGAGTAGTGAATTCAGAATGTGCGCTGAAGCTGTGACTCACCAGACAGGGGAAAAAGTATTTTTGGTCTTTTTCCTGCAAGAACACCAGGATGTCCGTCATCAACAAGACCTGCACATCTACAAAAATAAACACAACAGCTACTGTTAGTGCCAAACACAAACAAACAAACAAACAAACATGCGTGCATGTACATGTGCACACACACATATACAGAAGTGAACAACCAAGCTTTTTTTAAATGAATGCATTGTGATTCATTGCACATTTTTGGAATTGCATTTGTCTTATTTGCACAAATTTGACATTATAAAAAGATTTTTTTCATTTTAAAAGCAGTGCATTTTGTTCTAGCTATATGAGCAAACCATATGTGTATATATATATATATATATATATATAAAATATCATATATAGTCAGTGGTTCAACTCCTCCGTGATTGTAACTTCTGGTCCTCGCTCCCAGTAGAGGTAGACAGTAGAGGTTCTCGAGGGGAACTGGAGCTTTCCACTGTGTTGTTGCTTTTGTTAGTTTTCTGCTGGTTGGTTTATTCATAGCACTGTCCAGCATAAAATAACGTTTATCAAGAGAGCCATCAGTGGAACTTGCCATTTAAAAAGCTTTATTTGAAGAAGAGGACTACAGTCATGGAGTCATAGAAAACAGCATGTGAGCAACTTGCTTTCAATCTGTTCTACAACAGATACTTTTGAACGGCGTTAATGAATTAGTTGTGTTATTAATTTAACGTTTTAAAGTCAGACATATTACCTTTGAGTCTGGACCCCTGCGCAGTCTTCCACAGCAGTGTTCCCTCGTGGATGAGCCTCCTCCTTTGCAGCTCTCCACCACGGAATATGCCTCCTCCCCGCACCTCAGTTTCGGCCCGTGGGTCCAGCTTGGCGCGGATCTCCTGCAGCCTCTGTGTGTACTCCAGCTCCTGCACCTGCTGATCCACCGAGCTCAGCAGCTCCCGGATCAGAACCAGCGCCTGGCTCAGAGACTCCGCCTCCTCGTCACTGCCTGAGGACCCGACAAACATGTGTGGTGTTGGTTAGCTTAAATAGGCTGATAAGTAAACTTACTACTGATGTTCCTGAGGTACTGAGATCTGCAAAGGCATCTGAATTTAACCCCCTTAAATCTGAAAGGTCTGTTTTTGAGTTCACACTTTATTTCTTGTAACTAGTTCAGTGGTTCTCAATCCAGGCCTTAGGGCCCTCCAGAAGGTCCACATTTTTCCTTTAACCTTATGTGTTGCAAGTTGGAGCAAAAATGTGAACCGTCTGAGGACCAGTGAACTAGAAAATTTACATATTAAGTTATAATACTTACTAAATAATTTATAGTCGTTACTGAAAGTCTTAAGATTAATAACTGAGTAATAAGCCTGCAGCTTCAAGGAATGGTCCGGCAAAAAATTACACAATTTTCCACAGCCACCGGAACGTCTTTCAACCCACTCAAACTACCAGGTCTTGATGAGGTTTGAACTATAAAAACTGTGGTCAGAGACTTTAGACAACAGAGTCTGTATCCACAAACCACCTCAGGGTTCAGAGTGCTCTATCATCAGTATTTGTGAGAACATATAAATATGAAGAAATCTGATTTTATAGTTCACAGTAAGTCATACTACAAAACATGTTTGGGCTGATCGACCACATCTGTTGTAAGTAGAAAATTTATAAATGAGATGTTTTGCCAAATTGTTCCTTTACGGGGTTCTGCCCTCCATAGTTGTGCAATATTGTCCAAAAACATGTCCATGCTGGCCGTCAAATTCGACATAATATTAGTGCCACCAAGTTTTCCCCTCGTATATTTCAGCCCTACACTGAAAAACTGATGCGGTAAAAATATATTTGTTTCAAATGTGTATGTCGTTTCATATGTGTGTGTGTATATATATATATACACACACATGAATAAAGTAAATTGAATGTATAGCTACTAGCACAAATATCTGCAGAGAATTGTACAGTCTTTTTTTTTTTATCTCAGTCCTGCTTTGCTTTATCAATGTGCCTGTCTCTAGTGACCAGTGGTCAGGGCCAGTGGAATTGGTATTGGTAGCTGAAGGGGAGGGCGTTCATCCAAATTATCCCTTGAGAATAAATTAAATGAATTAGCCAATCAATAGCCAAATACATCAGTCAATCAATGAACATACAGACCACTACTACAGGAAAATGTAGTGGTTTGTGTGGGCATTCAAGGACTTGCAGTGTCCAACCTTTCGTATTGTCCAGTATCCGCTGTATCAGCACTGGGTATTTGGTGATGCGCTGCGTGACGAGCAGGATGCACTCTTGGACTCCGTGACGACGGAGCAGGGGACCTCTGCTTACCCTCTGTTCAGAAACAGAATAGACAAATCTTCAGTACAAGGTGCATAAAAAATAGTGCAAGGAATGTATTCTATATCATACAGACATAACAGGCAAATAAAACAGAAAATGCACATTGTCTACCAGCTAAAGAAAGGAAGTATGAACAATAAAAAAGTCTGGAAGTCTTGAACTCTTCAGTAAGCACTTTAACAAACATTAATCTCTGAAAACACTAAAAACACTTTTGTAAACTATTTGTATTAGTATGTGCACTGACATCTGTTTCTGACATCGCTTAAGTCTGACTGTATTGGAATAATGGGCCCATAACATGGAAATAAAAGAGTTTAATGTAGCATAAAAAACACTATTTAAGTTTAAAAAAGTGTGTTTTAGCCCAGACAGCTTTTTAAATGAGGCACAATACAGAGCAAATTAAGAACATAGCTCATTTACATATATTAGACTTAAAGACACAGCCTGTTTAATTCTAAGGGATAACGAGAGGTTGGACAATGGCCATGTAAACATGAATCATGACTGTTTTTGGTACATAAAACCACATAAATAGACCTCAGGGGAAAAAAGTACAAGAACAATGTAGGATATGAGCCCCTAAAGGATTTTCCAATAGATATCAAAAGCACTTCTACAAGTGGCTCTGAATAATAGCGTCTGTTAAATGTAAAATGGAGCTTCCTTCACCACTGGCTTGCTCTGGGACAGTTTGCCCTATTTTTTCATTTATTCCCCCTCCTGCTCTGTCTCTTCACCCCAGTGCTACATATCATTGTGGTGCTTTTCTTTTGCTCACCCGGATAAATTGCTGGAACCTCTTGTCCCGGGCCAGGAGCTCCTTATAGAGCTTCACAGCCTTCAGGTGACGGCTGCAGAACTCGGCATAGCACTTCCTCATCTCATCAGCGTTGTGGCCTGAGAACTGGAGCAGGGAAGAAAACCTCAGTGAGATCATACAAACATAGGAATGATCTAGAAAACTTGCTGTTTGTCACTGGCCACATTGTATGTACAGTAATAAACTATCTCTATTGATACAGAATTTGGTTTGCTAAATGTATTATCACACTGTAAGATATGTTAATACTGTTTAACGTTTAATCATAATCATTTATTTCTTTATTTAACATTTTCATACTCTTATTACTGTTATTGTTTTGCTATCTGGTATCGACCAGAGGAGAATGGTTTCTCTCTGAGTCTTAATTCCTCTTAAGGTTTCTTGGTCTTAGGGAGTTTTTCTTTGCCACAGTCACTCTTGGTTTGCTCACTTGGGGCTTGGGCACAAATTTCTGTGAAGCCTAAATGTAGAATGTAAAAAATGCAATACAAATATATTTAAATTTGAATTTAACATGAAACAGTTACCTGCTAGTTCTTTTATATATTTGTCTTCTAACACTCAGATTCATGTTATTTAAACTGTCTTCCTTGGTATGAAGAGCATGTTTCTTCATTAATTAAAGGTTTTGTTTTCCAAACCATTATGATAAAATCATTTTAAAACATTTTTTGCCCAAAAGTGGTTTAAACACCAGAAAGGTTTGAGTGCGAATGAGTTCTGACATCAAAACAAGGCATGTGCATGGGTTTTAAAATTATTTCCAAAGCAGCACAGTCACTAATAATGTCACAAATTCTTACATGAGTGATGTTTTTTTACAATAAATTTTACTGCTCTTTAATATCGATGGAACAGAACTTTGTATCTCCATTTTTTTGTTTTTGTATAACTGATTTTGGAAAATGTAAGCTGTCCTTTACAACGTGTCAAAATATCACGTCATATGGACATCCACTAACTTTTCGTTCTTCTGTAGGTTACCATTTTGGAGACCCAAGGTTTTGTTGTGACCTTGACGATATGTCATTATAGTGACATGTTAATTTGTATTACTGTGAAAGCCAGTGAAATGTAAAATGTCTCGGAGCAAGTACGTTGTCCATATAGCCATCAGTCAGAGCAGGACTCACCTGGTCCACCAGTACATCTCCAAGCTGGTGTATGGTGAAGTTGGTGGTGCTGCCTGGCTCCAGGCTGTTGTTTCTCCTGCTCAGCAGCTGGCCGAGAAAGCGTGAGTGCAGCGCCACCAACTGGTCTAGGCAGGGGAAGACTGCGTGGACTACCCCGGGCTCCAAAAGCACCTCCTCAAGCATGCCACGCCGGAACACGCCCTCCATGATCCGCAGTGTGCGCACATTATGCAGCTCAGTCTGGATCAGCTCTGTATTGAAAAGTGCATCACTTATGTTAATTATAATGCCATTGTAAGTTCTTTTGCATTCAGCTGACGTTCGCAAAACACCAACTGTTGATAAGCAGATGATAAGTCCTTACCTGATAGCTACATTAGCCTTGTAGCTCCAGTGCAAAACTAAAGCAAGCTTTGGTCGATGAGCATGTCTTGGCTGGAAATTTGTCCAAATTTGCTTTAGCATTTATGCAATGGACACTGCAGTGCTTTCCCAAATCAAACACACATTAATCAGCATATCCTGCAATTCTAGAGTCCATAACGATTGGGAAGGGACACCACTAAACTGTGCAGTGCAGGATTCTCCAGGACAGGGTGTATGAAATAGGGGAACCAAACAATACAGAGCACTAGAGACCTAACTTTCAGTCTGGGGAGGAAGTGTAGAAAAGGCCTCACCATAGATCACATCTTGTCTCTTGATCACATCTTTGCGGTGGGTCTGCAGGTATGAAGAGTCCACTACCAAACTCCACGAATCTGCCTCAAAGTCCCGCCCCTCCCTCTCCAACTCGTCCAGCATGGACGCGTAATACACCTCTCCTTTGTGAGTGAGAGGAGAAAGATCAGGTTATAATCACTACAGAAGGTTGTCATCTCCTTTTCGCAGCTACAGATTCATGCCAGGAAAGTACTGAATAACACACACTTTATCAGAGAACAGATAATTATAAAAACACTAGCTTTGTAGCCATTGACCAGCTATACTGATCCGGGACGCACCCATCATGATTTTTCATGGCCAATTTGTAGTTGCCTTTTAATTTTAACCCGAAGCTCACACTGTGTGGGATAAATGGACAAATGAAACACTAGCACATTTCCAGTACTTTCCATTTCCAATGACTGCAGTATAAATAACATTACTCGCTCTTTAATTGGACAAAACCTGTATTTTACATTCTTAAATATCACAAATAAGCTGTTTGTTTAAATAATATGAATCAAATAAAATGCTACCTTGGCAGTAAGAGGCAACCAGCTATTTGGCACATTAAGTCATGCATAATTATGCTACCACATTTTGAAACAGATGTAGCAACAGCATTCAAATACACCGCGAGTGCATTTACCTGTCTCGCGTTATTACATCAGCAAATGCAACACAGATCAGCAAAAATGAAAATAAATAAATAAATAAATAAATTAGCCCAAAAATCTGCCAATTTTGATCTTGGCTGATTCTTTTTGTGCATCTCTAATATTTACTGCGGTTGTTCTTCCGTTCCTGAATGTTTCCTCTCATTGGGTCTTACCGTCATCGTTCAGAGACTCCATGGACATGGCCCTGTTCCTGAAGTTCAGAGAGTCTGTAGATTGGGACAGAATTCTTCTGAGGCCCAGAGGAGAGTCATCGTTCAGATTCCTGCAACACATACAAATGAACACAAGTTCAAACAAGCGCTTTAAAATAAGAAGAAACAACAGTAACACTTGGACATGTACTTTAACTATCAATAACAAACAAGGCTACTATATATCTCCTCACAGTAATGATTCTTTGAAGCTACCAGGATTGCGGTGCACATGAATCATAAAACATATTGTTAATAATGCTTTAAGTTATGTATAACACTAATCTGATTTGTCCCTCTGTGCTAGTTATCAGTGAAATCTTCAACTTGAAAGATGCTGGCTTTCAAGGTGCGACGCTTCCTCCTTTTGTTCCACAGCAGTCATTTATATTCAGTCAGTCAGTCTATATTTATTTTTGTTGCACTGATTGTGAGACAGATGGACCCAGTCTGGTTTTAAGTTACATTAAAAGGCAAGTTCAGAGATTTTTCAGAATTTCTTCGTAATTCAGCCATTCAGCGTGGTTTGATGTGACGTGCACCTTTCTAGAATAACTAATCAAATTGGATTTTTTTTACAATGGTGGTGATAGGAACCGGGGGTCTTAAAAAAGACATTTTATTTACTATTCAAAATGACAAGAGAATCTAAATGTCTTTTCTGAGGTTTTATTCGTAGCACTGATGATATTGGTAAATTGATAGTGGTAAATCAGCAAAATGTATGTTTTCCCTAGGTACTACTTTGCCTCATATCACCCTGCATGTACCTCTGCACTATAAATGGATAGAAAAACATTTTAGGCCAAAAGATTATCTTAAAACTACTGTGAAAATATTTCAAGCATTAAACCCCTCTGGTTCCTCTCACTCCCGCTGTGAACAATTCTGACGTTCCTCTACAACAGAGCATTACATATCAAACCCTTCTGAACAACTTTGTTCCCATTTGAATAATTTTATTTTATTATGCAGAAATTTTATTTTTCTTTTATTTTTTATCCAGGGAAATCCACTTCAAGCATCTCTATTTTATACAACAGAATGAGTAGGATCACAAAGGTATACAACATGTGGGACAGGTCTGTGTAGGCTAATGAAATGGGAAGGCCAAGAATAAAAATAGGTCAGGTCACATCTTTAAATGCTATTTTGTGGGCAAACCCACAACATGCCAAACAGAGTGAGAGGTAATGCAATCAGTCTTGTCTTATCAGAGAAAGGCCACGTATAAAATGCCAGTTAATTGTATTATTATAGATGAGAATGGCATATCACCGACAGGCACTGGAATGCACTGATTACTGATAACAGCAACAGCCCAATAAAAACACGCAGGTAAATATGACAAACATGTTTATGCCCTACAAAATAAGGTCACTTCCAAGTGATATGTCAGTCATTCTCACCCAGCGATGTTATTGGTGGAGACGCTCTTGTTGAGGGAGAGAGTGGAGCGTCCACGGCGAGAGCCCAGCAGAGACTGGCGCAGACTGTCGGAGGGGTAGATGGCTGAACTCGGCCTTTCCTTTATCATGGGAGCTGCGGGAAAGAGAAGAGAGAATGAGAACTTTCTTCAATTGCTTATTTGCACTTTAACCACTTAACTGTTCAATGCTGAGGCAAAAAAGCAGTTATTTCTACCTTTTATTCTACTGTTCTCCTTTAATAAAGTGATTTTGTGTGTTGTTATTACACTTAACCTGATATTTCTGCAACATTTATCAATTGTAGATTTCTTCCAGTAACTTCTATGCATTTTGCAGTAACTATTATGATACTAGTATAAGTTATATATTTATATAAGATTGGGAAGATGAAGTAGGAGCCCACAAACAGAACATTTGAGCTTAAGGGGTGACTTTTGTATGGTATTATTTACAAGAAGGAAACGGTAAAAGACATAAATACTGAGTAACTGACTCACTTTCAGTGTTACAGTGTGATTTATCTCACTGCAATTTCCTGACAATATACAGAAACCAAAAGCATGAACAGATTATCAGTCTTCATCTGTCACTTGAAAACAGCCAAGCAATTCTTCTTCTGTATTAAGGTGAGGATTCTGTGGAAGCTGATCCTGTCCAACTGGCCCGGTCTGGCAACTTTCAACCATATCAAAGACACAGAACTGATACAGAAGCCACAGTCTGTAGAGACACTACAGGGCCAATAGGAGGCAGTGCTGCACCTCTAGCTTACCTGCACTGGTGTCAGAAGGAGGTGTTAAAAGCTAGGCATACGGAAGGGAGGTGATAAGGTAAACACAGGGAGAAAAAAAGACATCCGTTTGGGAAGAGAAGGGAGACGCGCAGAAAAGAGTGAAAAGAACACTTACTTTTACTACGAAGGGCCACGTTTTGAAGAGCTGAACTGTTCCTCACCAGGGCCAACTTCTGTTGCTGCAAGACACAACAAAAAGTTTTAAGCTTTCCATATATAGTTAATGCATAACTAACACAGAGATGCTGCACATTAAAGATGATTTTGTTAATAAATATGATTATATAAACATGGAGCAGGGAAAATACTACACTGTGCAATGCCAAAAGAGTTAGTTCTGACTGTGACTGAAAACTGTTGTTTAGGGCTGCAAATATATGGTTTATTAACTATTGTCATCATATTGCAAAAGGCTACAACATGCATGAGCACCCCAACTAATTTTATCGGCATGGACCAAAATATTTGCAATACTTTTGGTGAAAGCAGGAAAAAAAGAGAAAAAGGGCCAAATATTTTTACCTCCCCAAAAAATTAAATAGGTCAAAATCTACGAAATGAAAAATGATTTGAACGGTAATAAAAAAGAGCTGCTACTATTAAAAACACTGTTTTTCCCCCTTTCTCTGTCCTGCGCCGGTCAGCGCAGACACATTCAAACAGTTTGAGTTGTAGCAGATAAACAGTGAAAATGTTAGCCAAACTTTTTCACAGTTTGGACGAGGGATGTTAGACAATTTCCCTGTTCAACACCCAAAAACTTGTACAATACAGGTTTGATAACATGAAAACACTACATTTTGCTTGATAATCTAAATACAACAAAACAACAGAAGTAGAAAGTCCCTGTGAGCCCACTGATGCCACCTATAGCCACATTTTTTAAATGATCCCCCCTATAAATATATAAATAAATAAATAAAAATCACAAATAGTGTCAAAGTGTAAATTCTAACTTGTTAAGAAAACGGAATTCGTTGCTTTGGATGATCAACCGTTATCTGTTGGACGATAGATTGGTGGATTCCATGGGCACATGCTATACTTTTTTAAACTTTTAGAAAGTTTATGCAAACTATATCAGCTGTTTTATTATTTTTTGTTTGTCTCCTGGTGTTTCCTGAATTTCGGTTTTGATTTGGGACAAGGTGCATCACTGTTTCAAATATCCTGACCAATCACAGTTTCAGTCGAGTGTCCGTGGGTGTTTTCATAAATCACTTTAAGCAATCTAACAAACATACATTTAATTCAAATAACGCAAGTCAATCTTAAAGTATGTCAATATTTTATTCCAATATACTGCAATATATCTGCAATGCTGGTATTTTGATTATATAGTGCAGCCCTAGTTCTAGAGACGTTTAGATTTGAGCCTCCCATTTATCTTGCTGTATTTCTTACCTTCTGCTTCATTTTGGCACAGTTGGCCAGTGTGTCTCGGCAGCGGTTGTGGATGGTGACATTGCAGGCTGAAAGAAAAAAAAGAAAAAAAAAATTAACACGACTGCACACATTGTAAACAAATATATGTCGTCCTTTCTATATAAACACATCAAAGGAACACCACTGCCTACCCAGACACTCAAAAGCATATACCCATTATAAAAATAAAGAAAAATACTCATAGGACACAGACTCTGGCACAGCAATGGAGTTCAGACATCTCATGATTCTTTAATTTCAGAGAAGCTAACTTGCTTAATTTACTTCTACATTTTTTAGACTTTCAGGATTGATTGCAAATTCCAGCTCCCAAATAGATTCATTCTGGCCAACTCAGGTTACCATGTGCATGAAATGTTTCCTTTTTATGCTTCTAATTGCAAATGAAATGCCATCTTTGTTCCATTTGAGATCTTTCTATTATTGTGCTATTCAACCAGAAAGTGAGTCTGTATTTTGAGAGCACATTTTATTTTATTGACATACTGAGGAGGGCATAATAGTCAATTACCATGTAATTTAGCACTGATTGCATCTTTAAGATGTTAATAACCTTGCTGGATCCCCCCTCCAGCTACTGTGCATAATCTAATGGGGTAGCAACTGCTGTTGAAAAAAAAAAGCATGAACTGTGAATGAACCAAATAACTTGAGAGCTCTTCCGCAGCTGTATCAGTAGTGTGCGACTGGGAAGAAAAACAGCTGTCTACATGTGTCTGGAAACTCGCTGTTTCAACAAATAAATCTACACCATGCTGCTTCAGAAACATGACATAGATGTATATAGTTGATCTGAAGGTATCAGGAGTCTTGTAGGATAAATTAAACCCAGCACTACAAAGGTAGAGAAGGGCAATATGATTTATTTGTTATTGTGCTAAATTATGTCACAGTACTCCTTTGTGAGCATATTGTGGGCATTATCAGTACTTTATATGAACAATGACCGATTGCATGCTTCATTATAAACAGAGCATAATGGATCCTGCATAATTGCAGTCAATAGAAATCATTGTATTCATTGTTTTTGACAGGATTTTTAAATCTAGCACTGCTGCATCTTTTTCAGATGTTATAATATATCAAACCTCAGAAAACCAAAATATTTTGAGAGACCATATTTTGCACAATGTAAAGGTTACAGGCATGACTGTGTGAGTGTGTGTGTGTGTATGAGTGAGTGATGATAGGACTGCATGTTTTATTTTATTTCATTTTATATTTATTTTATTCACTACATGTAAATGTCTGTTTGATACTGTGCACTGTGAGCTCCTGTAACCAAAACCAAATTCCTTGTATGTGTGAGCATACCTGGCCAATAAAGCTCGATTCTGATTCTGATTAAAATATATGGATCTTCACATTTAACCCCATTAAATTCCAGGTTTATTACATACTGAGGCTTATTATTCAGTAACTACAGGGACTTCAGTGCGAACTGGTTGTGCTATTCATAGGTTACAGAAGTTTGTAACAAAACCTTGGCTTGTTAAAGAATGCAACAAGTAAGCTAAAACTACAAAATTAAGTGAATAGATTTTATTAATGTGTAAATAATGTACGCATTTGAATAAAGTCAGTTCAGTTCACTTAAGTCAATATACACAGCTGAATCCAGTCAATGCAAAGCATATAAAGCAACAGTACATGGATCAGAAATGTAGGCCTTTTTGCTACAGATTGATGCTTGCATGGCTTTAAAACCATTCAAATGTGAAGTTATCCATGAATAAATGTCATTAATTTTTAGCCCGGTACATTTGATTTGGGACAAAAACTGCTGCTTTTACCAAAATAAAATATTTAAAAAGTGAAATAGTGAAAATATCAAGGTTTATAGGCACCTATTGAGCAGTTTGTTTAGACAGAGCTAGTATCGGTACTTGGTATCGCAGCTACTTGAGGGTCAGGTATCAGTATATGAGGGGAAAATGGTATCAGTGCATCCTTAGAATGAGGTTTTGGTCCCAAAACTGCAACAAAGAGGCCAAAAAATAGAGCACATTTTTGCTATTATCAATTCTGGCGGTTGTTAAAAACTGGTTCATCATTCTGATATTCATCTGCATCTGTGCGTCTTCAGCAAAAGGTTTTCACAAAAAAAAAGTATAAAAATAGCTGAAATTAATGTCTCAGCGTTTGCCCAAACTTTATCACCCTTTTCACATCTCGTATCCGCGAATGGGCACAAACAGTAGCACCAGTCGGCTCTCAGCGCTCCGTGCAGCTGCGCACTCATCCTAATCACCACGGCAATCTTGGAAATCATCAGTCTTCACTGTGGATGAGAGAAAGACTAGGACAAAGAAAGGGCTTCCTCAGCGCTCACTCTCTCTCTCTCTCTCCTCTCTGGTTCTCTGTCTCTCACTCTCTCACTCTAGTCCTTCCTCTTACCCCTCCTCTCTCTCATTTCTGCACATTGTTTTAGAGGTCGCTCTTCCTGCACTGTGTTTTGTAGACAGGAAGTCGTCCTTAAACAGAGGGAAATGTGTGTGTGTTGGGGGGATTGGCAGGAGCACAGTTAAATAGGGTGAATAGGGTCAGGGGTGGCCATGTTGAAGGTCCACCGGGGGCTTTTTACTCATCCGTCAAGACACAGATCATCCATCAGGGCCTTGTGAAAGAAGAACGCCACAGCAAATACAGACTGGACAGAATACCCAATAGAGCACAGAGCATAAACAAACATTAACAAACAGTTTGTACCATTAATGCCAGGATTCTGTCATTTGACTAACTGCATTTACTTATTTATTTATGCATTTACCTAAAGTGAATATGGCTAAAACCTCAGATATTTCTCCAAATAGAAGTGGAAGCTACAGAGTCTCCGTATAAGTTTAAACATCTTCCTATTTTACAGAACACAATGGCCTCTTTTTCACCATCAGGCCGAACGGTTCTGTGCACAGAGGGTAACCACTCCATTTCCATTGCTGACATTTCCACACGGACACAAATTGCTCAGTGCAGTTTACTCGACACGGTTAGCTGACCACGTTCAGGGCCACAGCTTGTTGAAACCGAAAAACAATCAAACGCGTTCAGTTCATTTGCACGGTCCTCAAATAAATCTCGCAACAATTGATAAATGTTAAATTGTGCTGCAAACTAGGAGAGAGGAGCTGATTAGCATTAGCTTAGCTAGTATCCCACCAGCTTTTCTCACCACAGAACAGGTCTGACTCTGACTAACAGAAACTATGACGCAAGTTTATATGACAATGCCTCAAATCTGAGCAAGCAAAGTCAAACCAAACCTGTTCGGTAGTGTTTGGATCTATAGTCTCGTTCAGATTTGAGAGCACAGCAGGTATAACCGTCTCATGAGTCGACACCAGCAAGGAATGGCACAGTAAGGCCCTGGACACTACTGTCCACCTTCTTTGCTGAATATGGCCACAACAACACAGCAGAAATGATGTGTTAAAGTAGAAAAGAGGCCATTGTACACACCATAAGGGAACTGAAGAGCAAAGCAAGAAAAAAAGGAATAAAATGTTAAATAAAATATTTGCCAACTTCAAAATCTGCACAGAGGACTCCAAGAAGGTGGAATTACTTACAGTACAAATTTGACATAGGCTGTTAAAATCATACATTGTGCAAGAAGTTGTTGAGCTGTATTTCACATTTCAAAACTTTCTGCATAACTGAGTCACTGAGATGTTGAAAAAAAGAGTGCTTTAATGTGAAATGAGAAACTTACAGACTCTGATAGAAACAAGGATTTGCAATGTCTACAACACAAATATGGCCATTTTATCTACTACCCAAAACCACTAGTAAACTTACACGTGTCTTTTGAGTTTATATATGTAATGTTGATCATAAAATAATGGTAAATCTAAAATAAAAAAATAAAAAATAAAAGTTTTCTTTGGGTCTACTTTGCCCGACAACACCCTACATGTAACCCTCCACCATGAATATATTTAAAATATACGTACACTGCCAAAAGACTATTGCAAAACTATAGTAAAACAATGTCTCAGGCATCAGGCAGAGCATTCGTAACCATTTCCTGTTTCACATCAAGCATTTTATATCAAACCACTCTGAGTTCTGTAGCCTGTTGTGTCCAATACTATGTTATTTATCAGCCTTTTTTCCATTAAAAAGCACAGCTTTGGGTAGACTAAGATTATCCTTAGGGACAGGATTATCTTTGTCGACGTAGTCCCCCAGTGTACGCCCCGTGTGCTCCAAACAATTTGCACCAACGGTTAAAAGATCTACACTACAGCCTCATTAAAACTCAAGTGCAGTTCAGAGCACTTCATATCATTAACGTGACAAAGACGTGGCCGCCTTCTCTGCTAAATATGGCCATGACGACACAGCAGAAATGATGCGCTTAAGAAAAATGAGATGGCAAAACAGGAACGATGCGAAGAACAGCAGACACAGCAGACCAGGGCGGCTGGTGAGGTCACTTCCTGGAGAACCGATCTACTGATAAGTCAGAAGGGAGCTATTTTTATCTCAGACATAATAGGGGTAGTTCAGAGTGGAAAATGTTAAGAAGAAAGAGGGGATGCTAACCAGTGTCAGAGGCGTGCTAATTTGTCTAAGGGTGTTTTGTAGGAGCTGGGCGCACCCGTCTTCTGGACAGGGAAGCCTTTGTTCCTGCTAACAGCAGCTCGCACAGTCGCACACAAATAGGAAGCTCACAAAGACACTTCCACCACGTCTCTGAAACGCCACATACTTCACATTTATAGCCTCCTTGAAGTTTCGGCCAAGTTCAAGATGCCCAAGCAAGCTAAAAACAGCTATTTGAACCCTGTATTTCCATGAGGTTATTCCAAACGCTTGGAATTTCCACCAGCATCTCATTAAAGGCAACACCCATCTCAGACTTGGCATGCTTTCCCTTTGAGACATTGCTTACAAGTAAGGTAAAATGTTCAGTGGCAGATGATCTTGGGGAATTCGCTTTGAGTATACGCACACTTGCCTAGGTATAGACTTATGTTATAGTAACTGACTCTGCTACAATACTGAGATTGAGTTATACAAA